GACAGCGCCCTCAGTGTTAAACCACAAAACATAGCAATATTATCACATGACAACATTTAAAAGATAAAACAAGGGGCGTCACAATATCAATTCGAGGTTTAATTTGGGAGACAGCAACTCGAAGATCTTCTTCTACTTTTAGCCTTGATCTGTATTTGTTTTTTATGTATGAAAACTCAGAAAAAGTCTTTTTACATATATAGGTAGTTCCGAATGACAACAGAACATTCATTGCAGCAGCTGATAACTCCGGATATTCTTTTGCAACTGAAATCCAAAATTCAGCCAAACTTGTTTTGCCATCAAATGCGATCTTCAACCCGCGATCACTTGACAGGTCATCCAATTCTTCAATCAAATCCTTATCCAGTCGTGCTGTTGTGGTGTTGTGTTTTCGGGAATATATATATATTTATTAACACTGCGAAAGGTCACGACTATGACTGATTATGGAGTGTTTCACAATGTTTTGACTGAACTCGTTTTCTTCGAGAAAATCGTTCAGCTCAGAAAACATATCCATTCTTTCATTTTCGACTCGGGCAGTCCAGTGTTGAATTTTTCTTTTTGAAAGCCTTCAATCTTGTTATTCGCTGTTAGAACGTTAATTGATTCACCTTGCAATGACAAATTTGAAACTGTTCATCTTGTCAAAAATACAAGATAAAACACAGCAGTTTTGTTAACCAGTCAGGGACGATAAGATTAGCAGCAAGTTCGTGTTTTGTTTCCATAAGAAACAAGTTATACCTCATTTCGCAGCTCGAACAAACGGGATCAGAATCTTTCCGCGATACCACCTCACTTTTGAATGAAGAAGAAGACTCTAAAGCTCTGAACGAATTCATCACAGAGATAGTAAACAGTCTAGTCTGAAGGTGGTCTCGATTTAATATAATTAACAATGTTTACTGCTGAATCGAGAACACATTTTAATTGTTGGTCCAGTGTTTTGCTAGCCAGATTTTCCCTATGAAGAATGTAATGCCTAAAATCGATATGAGGCGCAATTTGTAATAATCTTGCTAAAAAACCTTTATGTTTTCCCGCCATGACCCCAGCCCCATCAGTACAAATACTAGTACTCGTCTCCACTGCTGAGAATATGTCTTTACCAGTGCATGTCCCAGAAAGCGCCTCTTCAAGCTTCCCATTGGCTATATACTTAACGAACACGCTCAACTGCGCTAAACCAGACGTATCCGTGATTCGTCCAATTGGCAAAGCGTATTTTCCTCTATTGACTCTATCATCAGTTGACACTTAATATTTTGACCCATTCGCCTGATAGGTCGGCGAATGGTATCTTGCAGACATTGGTGATTCTTTCATTTCCTTAGTTACACTTGTCTCCATTCATATTTGACTAATTGCAATAGCGAGCAGGTTATTTGTTGTTTCTCCAATGGTGGTGTGGTTTTTTTTTTTATCTTTTGCGATTAAATATGCCACTTTATACGATGCCTTTTGAGATTTTCCCAAGATTGTGAGATACTTTTCCATTGTTTTCTTTCCGCTTAAAACAATTCCAGTCCCGTAGTTGCGGATAGGGTTGGGATTTCGGGACCAGTTTTTGAAATCCCGGTATCGGGATATCCCGGGATTGAGTCGTATAATCCCGGGATTTTTCGGAATTAAGTAAAAGATTAAAACAACTTGCATGACAACAAAATCACGTATTTATTTCATGTAATATCGACGCAGAAATATTAGAGCATCTGGGGCAATGGCTTCCAACCTTTTCTTTTTATATCGCGGCACACTATTTAGCTCTTTAAATATTCGCGGCACACTTATCACAAAACGTGAACATTTTCTACCCATAAGGAGTCGAACGCGAACAAATGGTTAATAGTTGCCGATATTAGAACTGTTTTCTTACATTGTAAACGAGAGCGTCTTCGGAGCACCTCACATTATTGTTTTAAAGGTAGATTGCACGGGTAATACGGGGACTTCGAACGCACCGCTGATCACGCGCTTCGGTTTTGCTCGTCCTTCCCCGTTCCACCCTCATTATTATCGCATGTATTGTCCATTTTTCACAACCAAATTCATTTTTGTTACAATTCAATATGTGTCTTCCATTGCCAAAATCATTCAATAGTGTTATTGTGGACACTTGCGGAAGAAATGAAAAATGCAAACAAACTGTATTTCATTACAATAATTAATTGTTATCGCTAAAAAGGTTTAAAGTAGTTTTCACAGAGAGAGGGAGAGAGAGAGAAAGATTTATTATTCGTCAACCAGAAAAACAAGCATTGCAACAATAATAAAAATATACAACAATAAACGCCAAGTTATTCGGTATAGACAGGGAGGAGCGATACGACCATACACACGGTCATCAGAGCCAGTTCCCCCGATCACAGATGGACGTATCTTTTCACGTTATGAATTTTGTGCAAGGCCCGAGAATAATCTGATGGCAAAAATCGTAGCATTTATTATGTCGAAACGCTTATTCGACTTTTCAGACCACAGAAACTATCCGAAAAAGATAACCGTTCTTGTGTTCGAGGTATGAAATAATCGTCAATTCCACCATGCTTTCGTGAAGTAGTGCAATTTACTAAATTTATGAAGGTTTTATTGAGTTCCATCGCATCAGTGTTGGACTATCACGCGTTTCGCCAGATTACTGACGTGATTACAGATCGCAAGGGTGTCAAAATAGTATCTTTTCATCAAATCGAATAATTTTAACGAATTGTCGAATATCGGATTGATTTCGGGATTTTATTCCAATTTTTAACTTTTGGGTCAACTTTGATCATTCTTGTCAGCGTTTGTAAATTAACTGTCCCAATTTTGAGCTAAAAATATTATCATATCAGACGCCGCAATGCGGATATATATTTATGAAGACGATAGTTGACCATTTTGATTTTACTTTTCAAAAGTGTGGCTGTTTTATTTTCGTATTGAATAGTGAATAAAACCCTGCAAAGTCATTGTGTGAATTCTGAATGCTATTCTGAGTTCAAATTGTGATTAAATAAGTCGGCAATAATGGCAAGTCTACTAGTCAAATAATAATTTCTTGGTACAATTTGAGAAACATTTAGCGCAATAATTCCACTTCCACTCAAACTGCAAGCGTGGATGGCTTATTTATAAATAAATATTAAATAAAATGGTATAACCTACCATTTGTGAGAATATCTATATGTGGATAACAATGCCTTAAAATTCCGGAATTTTTAGGAAATAATTGCGGGATCGGGATTGAAAAAAACAGTCAAAATCCCGGAATTTCGGGGGTCCCAACCCTAGTTGCGGACCCCTGGTCTATACACTGTTGAGAATATGTCTAGGGTTTCACAGATTTTTGATGGCAAGGAGTCAAGATTGGTACTAAAGTAGGCAGAAACTACTACTAATCCCGATTCACGATTTTTGTTAAGATGCATCAACAATAGGATTAGCATGAATTGTTACTCTTTGTATCCTGACATCTGTCATAGGTCTGTATGTTTTCTCTTCCACAGGAAGCATTTCAAGGTCGTCCAGAACCTCGAGTCCACCAATATTACGACCTATAATTTTGTGTCTAAATCCTATCCTTATTACTGTTAACACAGATTCGCCACAATCCAAATATATAACCAACCAAAGCGTGAATTTCAACTTTGTTCTGTCATTCAAAAGAATTTGTAAAATGACCAGAAGATTATACTGTATGACATCACAACGAGAATATCGGTCAGAGACCGAAGACTTATCGATCGAAAGTTAGGGGATCCCAAAACAGCGCTCTTACTCCATAGTGACACCTTGTGTCCCATCACTAATTAATTAATAACTCGCTTATATACGACATAATTCGCCCAAAATAGGCTTCTGGTCCGAGATATGTTAAATGCACATGCGAAATCTGGAGCAGATTCAATCTCGCTTTCGGGAGATATCGCGTGCATCTAACAGACAGACAGACAGAAATACAGACAGACAAATACCTATCAACATACTTACCGATTAAAATCGATTATTAATAATATTTTACTATGTATCGTATTTATTTTTATTTTTTTTTTATTTTTATTAATAAAAACATCACTTTTTATCCACACGATATAACACATAAAAAACACAATTGCACTTTAAAAAAATGAGTTCATGATAACTTTCCACTTCTTAATGTGGTTCGACAGTTTACATTTTCTAGTTGCAATAATTTTTTCACATTTAAATATACTTTTTATCATATATAAAAATTGATCAAATTGAGGCCTTTCATTACGTAGTTTACATTTATAGATATAATATCTTGCACTCAATAAAACACAGTTTATACCTTGGTTTTGCTCTACCCCCATTAAAATTTCTCTATATGTCAGATTAAGATTTAAACCATATTCAACAGTTAGCCATGCATTAACTATTTCCCAAAATTGTTGCACAAATTCACAGAAATAAAATAAATGTAACACGGTTTCAACATTCCTTTCACAAAATGCACATTTCGGACTTGATGTCTTATTTATCCTAAATAATAGGTCATTTGTAGGTACTGCTCGCAAAGCAAATTTAACATGAAAAGATCGAAGACAGTTCATTTGACCATTTTTCTATTTTCTCCTTAGGCATCAAGATTTTTACATTACGAAGCTTATCATATATGTATCTGGAAGTTTTATCGATGCTTCTAATATCTTCCAATAGACTAAGATGTGGATTGGCTTGAGGGGTTTTTACTAAATTGTTTTTCCATGCTTGGGGTATACATGATAAAACTTTTAAATATGATTGCATGTCATTATAAAAATCAGAAAAGCAATGTATCGTATTAGGAATATGACGTAGACTGTTTTAACTACAGCTTTTCAATTACGGTAGTTAAATTTTCAATATAAATCCGTGAATTGGATTTTCCTACTTATTCAAATTGATTAATTTAATCCGATAAATGATCGAATATTAATTAAAAGTTTCGTGAAAAAATATTCACACTTAAATTGATTTTTCACGCTTGATAACATACGATTGTAAATAACCCACGTGTGCGCTTAGCTCCACAATTCATTCACAAGTTTCACAACAACCGTTGTTTGTGTTCTAGTTGAGTTGCAAAGTTTGGCCTTACTGTAAAAAGAAAATATGTGCAGCAGAGTTCTTGTTTATGGAGGAAAGGGAGCGCTTGGAAGCAAGTGTGTCGAGCTGCTCAAGAAAAACAACGTGTGGGTTGCATCTATTGATCTGGTTGCCAACGATGCCGCTGATTCCAACGTTCTTATCACCAATTTAACGTCTTGGACTGACCAACAAGATGAGGTTGTTACAAAAGTTGAATCCGCACTAAATGGTAATAATGTTGATGCCATACTTTGCGTCGCAGGTGGATGGGCTGGTGGTAATGCCAAGTCTAAAAATTTAGTCAAAAACGCAGACCTGATGTGGAAGCAAAGTGTGTGGAGCTCGACAATAGCAGCTCATCTGGCAACAAAATTTTTAAACTCTGGCGGGATTCTCACTTTTCCGGGGGCATTTGCGGGCACAGAGGGAACTCCTGGCATGATTGGATATGGAATGGCAAAAGCTGCTGTTCATCAGCTATGCAAAAGTGTTGCTTCGCCATCAAGCGGAATTCCAGAAAATACTACAGTAGTCAGCGTTTTACCTATAACACTTGATACTCCGATGAACAGAAAAGGGATGCCAGATGCAGATTTCTCATCTTGGACTTCACTGGATTTTGTTGCCGAACTTCTGCTAAAGTGGGCAAAAGGATCCGACAGACCTGAAAATGGGAGTTTATTGAAACTGGTTACTGAGAAAGGAAATACCAAAGTTGTACCAGTTTAACTGTTAACCGATTTAAAAATAATAAATGTTTTTGTTTGCTTGCTTGTTTTATCTTTTAATTGGTTAAGGGATTATACTCTTTCGTTGTACTGGTGATTATGCTGTTCTAGTCTTGTGGTTCCCAACCAATTATTTTTCGATAAATTTCTCCCTTGGCCTATTTTGAAACTATTGATGTTCTCTTCACTATGCATAAGAAACTCTGGTCACATTATTTGTTCAATCTTCAATACATTCTCAGCTAGTGTTAGACACAAGTGTGTCGTGTATTACAATAATGCTGAAACCAAACAATATTAGGGAAATTAAACAAATACAAAGCAATATTTTTCTTGGTTTGGAAATGCAGTTCTAGTGGAAACATTTGCAATATAACTAAGTAGTGCCTTTTTAATTGAAATTTGTTTAATAAGTTGTATTTCGAGCATTGTTTATCATGATTTTGTAATTGTATTTGGTTGGGGAATAGTGGTGTAATCATAGCGGGAGTTGAGTCTTTTTTCATCTACACCCAATTTTTTTAAACCCCATACGTTTGTATTTTGGAAAGCATCAAAATTGTGCTTATTACTAATTAATAGAAACTAGCTCGTTTACTGAGTCTGAAGTTTTCCTTTAAACCAGGAAGGAATGCATTTTTGAATGTGTCAGCATCATTCACAACTATGGTACTTGCATTCCTATACCTGATCTATTCTGTGCTGTGAAAATGCATCCTGTGATTTATATTATTTGTTGCTGTTTGCATTCATAATTTGTGTCTTTTGTGAACTTTCGACATGTCATTACTATATTACAATAATAATAATTGGGCAACAAAACTGGCATGCATGGTTTTAAACCTGCCCTGTTCAATGTTAATGTATCAGAGTCTGAACAATCAGTTTGCTCAATGACCATTCTGCGTATTAATACTCTATATGTCAGAACCCATACAAACTAATTTACTATGCGAAAATGGTTTGGCGATTTGAAATTCAGCCGCAATATTTCTTGATTGCTACTTCTAGAGTTCCTATAATTGGCATGTAGTTTTATTTAGTGTATGATCCTAAAATGAAGGTAACATTTTAACCTTAACCTAAAAGTTCATCTTTAGAGCGTTATGCAAATCTTGTGCATGCAAATCATATTGAAATTAATTTGGATAATTGTTTATTTTTTGTTTGCTGTGTTGTTGCCATTGTGAGTTTACAAATGCAATCATGACTATTCAATACAATTGTTGTTTATTGGTGTTTTTGATGCAATAAATAGTGTTTAATATAGTCGATGTCTAATAGTGAATGTTGGGGGAATGAATCAATCCAGACAGGATATATTTGAGTCATCTCATTTATCAACTTTACCTCAATGTGCATTGTTTCTGGGACAGATCGAAGAAGGTAAACTACAGGTCGTTGGTTACATAGTTAGACAACTTTACATCAATTTTGAACTTTTCGAGAAAATACACAACAATCGTATAAATTTGATATAGATGTTCATGTGAATTTGACAAAACATCTGTCTATGTGACCCCATTTTGAAAATATACATTGTACACACAATTTGTCAAAAATACATCAAAATGCTTTAAGATCTGTCAATCACAATGTTATAGCTTCAACATTGTCATTTCACAAAGTACCTTTCTTTGCAAATAACATAATTCCAAATTTGATTTTGATCACATACTACGAAACTAGTACTACAAAGACTTACCTCAAGCTATCTTTGTAATAATTTTTATTATTTTTTTGAATAGAACTGGAAAAATGTAGACTGGAAAATGAAAACATATCAACCTTGCTTCACAATCTGAAATTTGAGGAAAGTGATGGAAAATTGTTACAAGATTTAAGAAATGTAAGATATTGATGTTAAGGTTGTTAATTAGATTCATTTTAGCTTTCCACAACTTATTGCCACTATTTCTTTTATCTCATTGCTTCATTAATTAGGTGATTCGAATTATTTTTTACATTTAAATACAACGAGTTGTGCTCAAATATTGTGAATAATGTTCTGTATACTTGTTTTGTTTTTGATAGCTTGGAGTTGGCTATTGAAAGAAAATTTCTTGTAACATAATTTTTAGGTCAGATTACTCAGTTTCTAGGCATGTAAAACAATTTTTTTGAAAACACTGAAGTTTCGGAATTCATTGTCCAATTGTTATTCCATAATGTTATATATTTTATTTTGGTTGGAAGGTTGGAAGCCAATTGATGAACATTGAGCAGAAGCCTCCCGATTGTGTTTTAAATATTTTAGTAAAATATTTTATAATTGCCAATTCAAAACATCCATTCAAAAGAGCAGTAGTAAGGTTAGTATTTGATTATTGGATTATTGCAATAATTAACATAATTGATTTTACTGAAGCTGACTTTTATTTACCTTAAGAGAATTTATAATATCTGATTGTTTTTTCACTTCATTTCTAAATTTTTATTTGTTTCTGAAACTTTGATATTTTGGTCCTAAGTAATGTGATGCTAATAATACATTATTGGTATTTGCCAATTTTACTTATACGCTTGTAAAGAGTTTCAAGGAATTGTTTGAATGTATGTGGAATTTCAACTAGACGTTTTAATCTCGCAGTGTACTTCAAAAGGTGAAAAACCCCTCTGCAAGAAAAAGGATAATTTTTTATATATCAAATGGCTTGAACGATCTTATAAACACTGTGAAGGAAGGTGTTTCTGCACAATCTGGAAGACATATCATTGATGTTTTGTTAGCTTGTTTGGAGAATTTTAGTCTGGGGATAGAATCTCTGAAGGATCAATCAAAAAATGGTTAGTATTGAACTTCTGATTATATGTCATTTTCATATTGTCTCACACTCTTTGGTATTTAGATATATAATAGATATTCAGAGTTAGTTCAAAAAGGGCAATGATCTTTTTGGTTTGAGGTTGATCATTAAATTTGTACACAATAGCCGAGGCCGAACTTTATTACCCATGATTTCAAAAGAGTCTAATGAATATGCTCATCACAGTATACAGAGTAAATTTCAAATAATTTTCGTAAATCATATAAGCAGAGGTATTATCTCAACTTATTTTTGGAAGAATTTGTTTTGTGCAATTTGTGTCCTTTCTGTATGGTGGTCATTCACTCCTTTCATTCCAAATATGCTTCTACTGATATGTAAGGAGCTTTTATTTTTGGAGCACTAGAATTTTTCTGGATCCACGTTTCATATATTTTTTTTACCTTGTGAGATGGGGGCCATTGGATTTGAGCCCCATATTTGTAACTTATGATGGCGTGACAGGTTAAGGTAATGCTTTGACAGCTAGGCCACATACACTATGCCTTTAAAAACATTTGAATTCTTATTGAAACAATAAGTTTGATTCTATCTATCTATTTTTCAGTTTTGTGTTTCATTGAAGTGTTTCTTGGTTTTTTGCTTCTGGAATCCAACAACACAAATGTAGGATTGGACAATCTTCATTTTGACGTAGCTATAACATTGAAATGTTGTGTATCCATCATCAAAAAATGTATTTCTATGGATTCTAGTTTGGAAATGAGCAATGTTGAAACCTTATTCTACATAAATTAGTAACTAAAATGCCAAGAAATGTTCTGTGGCATCAGGTATTATATTTTGTTATTTTAGTTCCAAGTTAGTTGGAATGAGAGTTCCGGAGAGATTTAAATAAAAGGTTTTTATTTGAAGATCAAAGTACAGTGCTTTAAAATGTATTGCGAATTACAGGGTTGACCCAAAATAAACCAAACCCATTGCGAAAATGAAGAAAATTTATTAAAAACTTAACTTCTGTTTGTGTATGATTATACCAAAAAGTTTCAGTAATCTAGGATGCTCTGCATAAAAGTTATGTTCCACCTAAAATATATTCCAAATGACACAGGTCATGTTCTTCAGGGCACCCTGTATGGTATTTATTAAAAACATGGTGCTCCCGAAGTATGCGAACCAAGATGGCGGACATCGGAACGTAACATGGGTAACAGGTTAGGGTTAGGCGATAATTTTTTTCCAATTTTCCTTATTTTAGTCCTATTATCAGTTCGAAGAATAGCCAAGAGCCTCCCGTAGTATTTATACCTAAAATTATGGCCTAACCCTAACCTAGTACACATATTACATTCCGATGTCCGCCATCTTGGTTCGCATACTTCGGGAGCCCCAAAAACATTTTTCTTCTTGCCAATAATGTTAGTCAGAATATGCTTTCTATAGTACTGAGAAGTGAATCTAATCCTATGAGAGATAAATTATGTCCTCTTAGCTGTTAAAGAGTGGTTAACCTGGCCACTGGTCTGTTAACACTAGGGGTCATGCTCTGCGATATTATTATGCCTTCTTATTGGCTAACATCTTTTAAATTCCATAAATGGAGTTCATAATAATTGGCAATTTCTCATTTGTTAAATATCAGGACATTTTAGTTGGGAATGCTATAGTGCAGCTGGAATGACATGGATCATAATATGGAATACAATATATAAGAAAAATATTTTGATTACAAAGGTTAGTTTCAAATCGGCTGAAGAGACATGAACAAGTAATATGTTTGTTAAAAGGATTGGTTTTAAGATTATTTTTGTATTTCATATTGGTAAGATATTTTATTATATTCTTGCTTGTAAGTTGGCTGTAATGCTAATTATCAAAAAAATATTTGATTACGATACCTTTAAAATATAAATTAGGGTTACTTTGAAAATAAAGTTTGGCAAGTTTCCAAGATGTGGCTAATAGTTTGTGTAATCTACTAGGGCATGTTCTTGATGTCAATAGTATATCATATTTTCTTCATATAAATATTTGTCATCCTGAATGATAATGCAACAACTAAGCAATACAGATATGCCATATGCAACAATAGTCGAACTAGACTTAATTTTAGATTCAGTTGTTAAAAAGACTTTCCTAAGTCTATTTGAAAAAAATTTAAAAATTAATTACTAATTTTAAATCTATTCATAGTTGAAGTTGATCTGTTTTTTATTCTTTAAGATCAAAAAGCTGTTGAATGGAATGGTTAAATATTCCCAATCTCTCAATTCCAATGATGACTGCATCATTGATTCTCCAGGCGACAAATATCTCATTGGAATTGTTTTATCATCAAATGTTTTCGCAGCATTAAGTTTTTGCAATGGTGCTTTAACTATGGTACATACTGATGATTTAGTTTGCGTTGTTGAAACTCAGGATGAAAATTGCAAAAGTGACATTGATGCAACAAAGCAAAAATATATACTGGTTGATGATATTTTGCATTTCATGTACATAGCTGAAGTAAGGTGAGGCATTAGAAAGCAAAATAATGACTATTCATGTTAATTTCTTTGGGATGTAAAAAAACTTAATAAGCTTTCTGCTTAAGATGTTGTGCATTGGAGGCACCAGATTTCTTACCTACTCAATAATTGTTCTAGGTTTATTCTTCCTATCAACATTTCATGTTAGGCCTTCGCTACTCAATCTGCCGATGAACGAAACCATTGCAAAGTTTTCCCAATTGTAGAATGCGTTTTCCATATTTGAAGTCAATAGTGAGTGATATAGCATATCATTTCATCATTATAAAGGGTGATCCAAAAAAAACAGGTCATTTGAAATATATTCTAGAGAGAACAGCTTTTGTGCAAAGTGCGCTGAATTATTGAATCATTTGGGTACAATTATGCACAAAAAGAGTTGGGTTCAATAAATTTTCTTCATTTTCATAGAAGTAGTTGGGTTGTGTTGTTTTTTAACACTAATTTACTATATTTAAACTATTCATTTATTCCTAGATGCGAATCTATTTCGAGTCAAGTTGTTGCTTCTAAATGTTTTGTGCAATGGACTAGCACAATTCTGTAAGTTTTTGTTTTGAAATTACGATAATTTGAAGAACTATGAAACTAAACAAGGATCTTGACAATACTTGGTGAAGTGGCTCCAGACAAAGCCACTTGCTTGTATATACAGACATAAAAATAACAATCTAAAATCTATTTCTGAAACCACTTTTTAGATTTTGAAGATTCTAAACCGCAGTGTCAATGACAAGTGACAACCACACATTCATTTTATTTTATATTTTTTGCTTTATAATGCTTGTTTGCTTGATATAGGTCATGATTTTATTATCTGTTTTGAATAAATTCTTTGAGCATCACTCAAAAATATAGAGCCAATAATTTATACTTTAACTTTCAATTTTTTCAGTTGAACAGTTTTTCTACCTTGACTGATTAAATGATCACTATAAAGAAAAACTAGACAATAGTGAATGAATGTACTAACCAACCAAAACCATTTTTATCAAATATTATTCATAAAAATAATGCTTTCATTTATATTAAAGAAATGCATCTAAGAAATCGTCATCAAAGAGTTTGAAGCAATTACTATTTGAGAAGAAATCAAGTGAATCCGAGAGTGTTGTTGAGAAACTTTTCAATTACTCACTTGATAAGTTAGAACATCCAACTGATGCAATCCGTCACCAGGCCAATGATATGTTGTCAAACTTGCTTCAAATTGGAACTAATTTAGGTACGACATTTCTTCACGAATACAAGTATTTTTTTTATTCAATACTTGAAGCAAGAAAAAATTATTAGGTGACGTGGTTCGTGTGTTTATATTTTTTATGATAAAGTTCAAAGACATGTTGAAACAAACTATTCACTATTTTTCTAATACGCAACTCATTTAATTCACTAAATATTTTGTTAGGTAATGATGGATTTGCTAAACATCTTGTTCAAAATGTTCTATCACAAAGTTGGGAAAAAAGATCAACTTATACCGCACTTAATCGTTTACTACAACATGTTTGTATGAGTTATGTAATGGAAGAGAAGCCTGATATTCATATGGTCTTGCTCACAGGTAATATTTTAGAACACGGTTATATTTTTGTTTTGCTATGCATATAACAATTTTAAATATATTGAAAATCGGAAAACTTCCAGAACTTCAAATTATTGGTATGGTGCTGTATAATTAGTTGACTGTTTGCAGAATGACAGAAACCGAATATTTTACCATCCTATTTGAAGTCACTATATTCAATGAGTTTGAGTTTTTCGCACAGAATAATTTTTTTTGTCTTACCAGTGCTCGGTGAAAAGCTACTGTACGTTTGGTCAGACCCTGAATCTTTGGATTACCCACCCAATTTATTACACTCTGGGTGAGATGGTGGCGTGGGGTTTCAACCAGACATTGGAAACTGAATAGTTGGGTCTAACTTTTTAACTCCTATGTCCAAGACAACTTCTTTGTGGCCATTGAACATCCCTTTGAATCTTATCCCGCAACTAAGGTGCGATTAACAAGGAAATAATTAATCTTTTCAGCAATGAAGCATCAATCTCTTGCACCATATGCATCTGAGACATACAAACTTCTTGCAACTAAAAGTACGATAGCAGAAGAAATGAGAGTGGAATCAAATGAAAGCTTGCCATACAAGCAAATTCCACAAAATAAGATTGCATTGGATACTATGTTATCTGTAATGTGTGAAACTACCTCACATCATTTGAGGCTTCTTGTCGATGTGAGTTATTGAAGCTATTTTTTAATTGCATTTTTCGAAAGCGTACTCTTGAGTTGAAGGTCTGATATTTTTTTTTGTCCGAGCTGTAGTATCCCCTAGTGTTCATTGATGATCTTCCATCAGCAGTAAGTTTTGTCCAATTTTGGCTGGTACTCCTCTGATCGTACTTAACCTTCTCAACAAATTAAAAAAAATATCAAATATGATCGACTTTCAATCGGCGACTTAAATGAAAACTCTTCCCCATGCTTCAAGTCTCGTAGCAATCAGTATTTACTAATACCTAATTCCATCTTGGCATAAAGTGGTTGCCTTTAGCTTTTGCCAGGCATCATTCTATGTAGTTTTTGGTATATAACGGAGTTTACTCAAAATTTGGTTTCTCAGCCGTGGGGGCTGAAGTCTGAGCCAAAGTTTACTTCAACCTGGAGCCAGGAAACAAAGTGGAATTAATTAATATTTTGCTTATTATAATTCACTGTGCTGGTTAATCTAAGTAAATCATCATTATAGATCATCGAATATTGTTGATATACGAAACATGTGCTACTAGTTGAATGTGTGTCATACCTACCGGTATCTCTATTGATAATAACTCGTTATTTTTCAGTATTGCTTTATCAAACTACTACGAGTCAATGGAAAGCATTGTGTTTCCTATATTATGGAGGAATTTCAATTAAAATTATCATCAAAATCCGATGACAAAAAACACAATTTCACACAAACTCTTGCAGCATTTTTAGCTTGCTTTAGAGCAGCTTTGTTGAATGGATATTTAAAGAAGGACAAGGATTTATGTGGAAATTTGAACTCAGATTTTTTGCAGAATTTTCTCAACGCAGCATTAATTCATCAAGACAGCGAAGTATGTTCAAATGATAATCTAATATTCAGGAATCATGACTAAAATTTGGGAAAAAATAAATCCTAGCTAGCTATATACAGAAATGCCAATTTTCCTGAGGGGGGAAATTATGTGCAAGAGGATTGCTGGACTCCTCACTGCTGTTGGGTTGTTCACGTAATCGCTGGGCAGAAAAATTACTGACTTATAAAAATTAGTAGCTTCTTGAGCATCAGTCTGTTTTGAGTGTTTGTTCGGTTGCTACTTGCCACTGCCATGGTTGGACATATGATCAAGCAATCTTACTGATTTTTCATTCATCTGGAATAAATATGAAAATCCCATCCAATCCTATATTTAGTTAATTTCCTAATTGGATTAATATAAATTTATTTAGTTTATGTCTTGTTATTAATATTACTGGTAATCCTTTTTTTCGTCCAAAAATTAGGGAAATTGTTAATAAGATTTAGATCATGGATCATGATTTTATTTAAAATCGAAATCATATTTCACAGTGATTACTTTCATTAGTGATTATGTAATGTAAGAAAAGCATTCAAAATCATTGATTCTCTTCTAGCCAATGGGCAGTATGCTTTATGTAACTGCCAGTTGGTTAGCCTAAGTCTGCATTTGGAACAATTTTTATCCTTTCAATATCCACAGTAGACTGGTAACCAAATAAGAGGCTATATAGCAGTGGTTCTAAACCAGGGGTCCTTATCCCCCCCAAAGGGACCACAGAGCAATTGGAGGGGACCACAATCCTAGGCGCAAAATCATTTTACTTTTCACTGCACAAGAAAAGGGTGTTTTCAGTTTGTTGAGCATGAATTGTTTGAACATTGAAATGTACCAATCGAAATTGCACTCAAAATATCACTGGAATGAGAAAAGGGGGCCATGAGTGCAAAAAGCCCGCGGAAAGGGGTCAATGCTATAAAGTCTTCCAAATGATTAGGCTGTTTTAGTAACTTTTTTCTCTCAAGCATACATATCGGAATCCTATAGAAGTGAAAACTTCACAAGTTGCTTCTTTTTAGATAAGACAATTAGGATTCTCATTATTCTGTGAATCAGTAAAACCATCCTACCTGATATCGAGGTCAACATTAAATGCTTTGCAACATGCAATACCTTTCAATGTTTCTTCACAAGATCCTGCTTTTAGACAATGGTTGCTAAATTCTATGAAAAAGGTGTGTATTCTAACTCTACTTAAGGACTTTTGATAAAGGCTTGAGATACCGGTACTTGATTATTTTTTGATAATGAAATTTTGTCTTTATAGCATTCAACTAATTATGACTTGTTTATCAATCAAATTCATTTACAGAACTGCCAGATCCGCATGATAACATTAAAAAGTCCTAGTTTTTTTTATTACCTCTTAAATAAGTAAAAAATCACAATCAAAGTAACTTTACTCTATAACCTTTGTGTGTTTAATAATTTATAATCGTTGAATTTGATAATTTACACTTGCAATTTGCATGGGGCCCATGATAAAGCAGGGCCCACCGTGCACACCAACAGAGTTGTGGAACTCAAATGTTGGACTGTGTGGGTTTCCTGTTTGTTATAAATATTCTAGAGATATTTTCACATTTAGATATTTATTTTAAATATTGTCAATGAAATAAATTATCAGTGAATATTTATAACTATTTCATATTTATATGATATTGAAGTAAAAATAAAAAAGTATGTTTAGTTGAATATTTTGTTGGTGAATATGAATGCAGCTGATACTGAGTTTGTAGATATGAATACCATGTACCGGTACTCTATTTTTAAGTACTCCCATAGTATGTGTATGTGTAGAATGTGTTTTTAGGCCATAATTTCATTCCGATTTTCCGTATTTTGGTTCTATTACGAGTTCGGGAACTGTCTGTGTTAGCCAAGTGAATAAACCCCCTGCCCATAGGTTTCAGTCTCTTTACACAACTTAATGTAAAGTAGGCGAACAAAATTAGTTTGCTCCATATTGGTACACATACTTCTGGAGCGCCGAATTTTTTCCCAATTAAGACTATTAAATATTTGAATTTTTTTTTTTTTCAGTTTTTAATTCGATTGAAAGGAAACATGTTACAGCTCATGAAAGTGAAAAGTAAAGTTGAAATGAAAGAAGAAAACAATAAAATTTTGTTAATTTATGCTGTGAGTGAAGTTTTTATTTCAGTCTTCTGCGTAGAAATTGATTTTAAACTATATCACACAGAATTTCACTGTGTAGTGAAGAGACACAGGAAAACTATCAAATTATATGGTGTTACTTCTGCATGCATTTCATATAGGTTATGTCAATATTAAATCAATAACTTTCTATTTTGCTTTTTCATAAACTGTATTTGTGATTAATTTACTTACTTTTTCAGGGGTTTGTTACTTGGCTTGGCATTTTTTGTATTTCGCAACTATATACATCTGCTCCTTATGCAAAACGAGTGACGTCTATCAGTTTGGTCAAACTCATTACTAACACATTCTCAGGTATGATATTAGGATCTGACTGCTTTCGATAAAATTAGGATTTTACCTTGCATATTTACTTCTGGTTATGTATGCATGTTGGGGTCTTGCAACGTGTGATCAAGAGCATTAATAATTTTATTCGATTGATCATGTCTGAGAGGAGATTGCTGCACTCCTAGAGCTATCGAAAGTTACCCGATTCTCTTGGATTTTTCAGAATTCTTCAATAGCCCATTTAGGCTTTGAACAAATTAGGAAATCCTTAGCTATCTCAACCAACCTTCCTGTCTTATATGATAAATATAAATTTTTACTTTTTTCGCTATCGACGCTAACGACGGCTTAATTGTCTGTTGTGTTGTTTTATTTTAGTCTCAGAATTTGAAAATCTTGTGAAGTTGGATGAAGTTTTCACACCTGATGCCATTAATATATTATTTGACCTATTATCCGATTATACGAAGATGTAAAGCAGATTTCTTTCATCTTTTAACGAATGCTTAAATTGAGAGGACATTGTTGCGAGTGCGGTATTGTATGCATTTATTGAATCAGACACCATTAATTTAAAAATGCTATTGCATACAGTTTATGTACATGGTCAATGTATTTTGTCCTCTAGGTTGGATATTCCATTGTACCAATATAGGTATATACCTTTCTATATTTTATGTTCTTCCAAAAATATAGGGACTTCCTACTGATTTTTCAGAGCCAAGTTTCAAAATTATCATCCATATGATGTGATGTGATAAATTGGGTGGGATATGTTCTAACAAATACTGTTCTTTCCAGAAACATATCAGCTTCTTCATATCATTGCCTGGAGCAGGTCTGGGCAAGTTATGGCCCTATCAGGCCCGTGGCAACGTTTCAACCGGCCGCGAGCAGATTTCTAGATTAAGACACTTTCTTTTTATTTACACATAAAATATACTTCAACTGTAAATATTACTATTGTAATAAAAATCAGCATTCTAGTAGCAATGATATATTGACCATAGTACCAGCTGCTATCTATCTGTAGTCAACTTTGTGAAAATGATTAGCACTTGTTTTTGCGCGCGATCACTGATCAATAGAGTAATGAAAGCATGCATTTTGCTAGTATGATTTTGGTAAGTCACAAGATAACCTGACATATAAGGACTTGTTAAAAGCGCAGGAAAGAATACACTCATTTCATTAAATGTAACATTTGTATTATGCTTTGTTTCATTTGAATGTGTAATAAAATACAATGAAATTGCGCAATGTAGATCAACTTTATCTAGTCCCACCTGCCACTGAATTTTGAATTTACAATGTGGCCCCATAGCAAATATAATTGCCCAGCCCTGGCCTAGAGCCTGTTTGGAGTGATGGTCTGAAACATCAACAACCACAGCTGCCAATCAACTGATTTGTGCCTCTCCAGTTCATGTTTAAATACTTTTATCCTCATCTAGATATCTTTGGAGAAAGTATCGGAACTAACTTTAAAAGCAATGGATCGTGCTGCTAGAAGTTCCAAACCAGAGTGGTGTGGGGATGCTGCATACCATTTGCGACTTTGTGCAGTTTTAGGCAACACTGATGTAACACATTCATCAGTTGAATTATTGAGGTTTGGGTTTACGGTACTTGAAATATTTTCCCATCATTCTTGAAAACAAGTGATTAGAGGTCTATCACAAGAAAGGTTCTATGGATTGCAATCAGGGATGTGCTCCAGCATAAACTTTTTTTTTTTAGCAAACTCGATGTCTTGCTATTATTATTTCATATCATTTCACCAATTTTGTTTTCATAGGCAATTGAAACTGCTAGCAGCAACTCTCAAGCGGGTGGTTAATGTTAGAGGATTGAGTTTCAGTCTAGGTGCACAAAGGCAACAAAAACTAGACTGTGCAATATGTGGAGTAATCCATAATTATTGAATATACTGTGTAAAGGATAAAATTATGCAGCTTTGTTCATGCTATAACCGAGATATTGAAAATATAAGATATTTAAATAAAAGAAAATTAAATTTTATCTACACTAAGATAATTCAGATCACCAAACAAGCACTGGCATTTGCATTATCTGTTGCAAACAATAATTGTTAGTGATATATTTGTTCTTATTTAAGAATTTGTACAAAGTTATCAGAGTCTCTTAATAAGGAGTATTGTTGGCTGAAAAAAATATTTCTAGCAGCAACTAGTTCACCAATGTATGGGATTTGCATTGTATAAAATGTTTATTCAAAGAAGTCAACTTCAAGTAAGTTGATCAATAATTGTTATATTTTTTCCTATTGCTGTCACATCAATAGGACTAGAATTCAAAAACTAACTTTTTTGTTGAATAGTATGACTCACTTAAGTGTTTTTTGAGAATGAAAATTTAGTAATGTAATTTAGTAATTGTGGTAGTGGCATTAGAATTACTTGGAAGTTTTTTTGTACAAAAACCCTTCTTGCAAAATTTTTTTTTTGGATCACACATTTTACGATGTTTAACTTGAAACTAGTGCAATAATTAAGTATGGCCCAAAAAGACATTTCATATTGAAAAAAAGTATTTTTTAGTTGTGAATATAAGCTAACTATTTGATAATATATTTTGTTTTTAGGAATATGAACAAAGTGACAACGAAATTGGCATGAACTTATTTATCTCGTATTGTTGATACTTGTTTTCAAGTAACAAAAGCAGTGTTGCCAGTTGTTGGTAGTGTTTCTCCTGAAGGTCTTCTTCCTGATATAACTCCTACACCAGTTGAAGACAATATTGATGGCGGTCCTGACGACGGTTGGAATGAGTTACCTGATGCCATGAAATCACTTGTAATGGATGGAAATAATTCGGGTGAAAATTAAGTATTGAATGATAGGGAATTCTCGTTTTGATCTGTTGATTTTTAACTGGATTTACTGAGCATGGTCGTAAGCTCATATAAAAAATCAATGTTGTCGATCAATTTTATTTCAATATTTCGTTTATTATACAAACAAAGAAATAAACAACACAGACCAAAGCAACCAGACGATCTGGAAAATAGGCAAAACCTAGAAAAAGGTTTATATCAACTAACAAGTGCTGTAATTAGCGCCTGTACTCATTCATTGATGTGGAAAACACATCAATTCCACAGAGGAGAAAAAATACGTAATCGAAAAATAATACTCACAAAAGGGACCTCCTGAAGTATGACTCGAGTTGTGTACCAGGTTAAGGTTCAGGTGATGGGACATCTCGGTGCGCATACTTCAGGAGCATTCACAAAAGAATACGCAAGAAAGCCGTGGATGTGCTAAAAGCTACATATTTTTATGAGGCCTAACATTCTTATATAAACAATGCTTAAGACAAGTAATCTCTGATATGTAAATAGCTATAATTTTTTGGTAAGGATAGCATCTGTATGCTTCTTCATTGTCAGCCCAATTAACTTTGTGTGAGGTATCAGGGTTCAATCCGAGATCTCCAAACCGCAATGCCATGCTCTAACCACTGTCCCAATGGGCCCACCATATAGTAAATATGGCTTAGTGATTGAAGCACTTCAAGTTAATATTATTAGAAAACGAGATTCCGAGAAAAATCAGATGGTTGATAAACATGAACTAATATTTTCTGAAATAGCAAAATAAGCGACAATTTGATGACAAGAGAGCGGGTTTTAATCAGAATCTTTGTGAAATTGTATCATAATACTAAGGATCTGTTAATGCTCAAAACTTGTTACAAAAACATGTTATTTCATACTGCTTATTCGCGTTTTTCGTTCCAAAACAGGCGTTGTACAGTTCACAGTTCACTGATATGTGAGGAGCTACTATCTTTGGAAGAATCGGAATCTTTTCTCTTCTGCATTGCCTACCCAATTTTTTACACCCTTGGTGTGGTGGTGGGCATGACATTTGAACCTGAGATGTGTAATCTTCGATGCCAATACAGTTACTTCGATGCCATTGCAGTTAACGCTTTAACTGCAAGGTCACCGCAACTGGGAAGAGAAAGAACAACATTATGCATCTGAACTTGATTTTGAATTAGGAATATTTCCAATGTATCCTCAATTATATATTTTAGAAAATTTAATGAAATGAAAACTAGAGCACTCGCTCAGACTGTTCTGGTATGTTGTTGGAGAAGTGCTAAAGAATCTGCTTTACTTTTACAAGAAATTACTTCTTCATATGTTCCTCTGGATAGTTCAAACAAATCATCAAATGGTGTACTGTCATGGAAACAGGTGAATTGTGCAATATTACTTCATATTCGATTCTTTATGTCTATGATTTTTCAATAATATCATCAGTATTTACTCATTGACATTGTTTTCTGTTTGATTATTCAGGAATTTATTCTGATATATGTTTACGTTGTATTTCATACTCAATATTGCCACCACTAGGAGATAGCTTGTTTTTTTTATATTGTTGTGTTGGAGCAGAAGTCAGTTAATAAGTTAGAGTCAGCAGTTTAGGCTATAATGGTGGTAATGGAATTCAAAATTTTTGACAAAAAATTGAATTTTCTTAGACTCCACAGCTCTGGCCATTATTGTATGTGATTTTTACTGTTATTAGGTATCATGAAACTTTTTGAAACCATTGATAAATTTTTCCAGCTTAGTTTTGAATGATATTTTGATTTGCACTTTTTGTGTTCCCTACATTTCCCCTATTCAGATTTTCATGAGTTATCTGTCTTATTTCATTATCAAAATTATTGAAATTATTTTAAAATTCAAGTTGCAAGATATTGGAGATCATTTACTTAAACAACTGATGGGAGCAAGACATAGAGGAGCATTTGAAATTGCATATTCTGCATTTAAAACTTGCTGTGCCAGGTTATGGAGGTGAGAAAAATAGTGCCCCTTTTGTCAGTGCTTGTAGTCACTTTCTTTCAGTGAAAGTAGCAATACTGGAAATATCCTGTCATTTAAACATATTCATATGCCGGATTTTGTTTGTATATATTGTACAACTTTTTAACGTTTAGGGTCGGTCGATCTTGCTGACCTTGCAGTTTTGCCTGCCGAATATATTTTATGATTATTGTTTATTCTTTTTACTGCAATGTGTACTTGGATGATATATTCTGAAATAAATATTTATCTTACTCTTTCTTCCTTGTATAACTTAATGTTAGATTTCTTAATGGGCGTGCGTCCCTGCTCGATAACCATTACTGGTTTCTTGTGTCCCCTTCTCCCCTGGAATACTATTGTTACTTTATTTTGTATGTACAGTGTATATTTTTAGAATGACGAAAAAATGATTACAGACAGATTTCATCCTGTTTTATTTCTTGATAACAATATCACTCTTCTTCATATTCATATTACTAGCAATGCAATGTGCAATTTCTACTTTTGTTTATCTGGTACGTACTTATGATACAGGATAGGATTATCATATTTGACCTGTGGGAGAGGAAAAACAATAAGATGGCGTACATAGGCTTCTAGTTCGATTACCAGTTAATGTCTAATATGGGACTAGTTAGCCAGTTATTTGTTTCGGATTTATTTTGTCTGATTAATTTTTTATTATATTTTGAATACAGTATCGAACATACTGAATTGAGTTGTATTCCTGAGAAATGGTTGCACAGTATACTCTTAGATATTGAAGACCCGTCTCGTTCAAAAGATCTTTGTGCCACAAGGAGAAGTGCGGGACTACCATTCTTCATTCAGGTTTTCTGTTTTTGTATTCATATTCAAGAATAATCGGTTTACTTATTCTTTTCAACAGAACAGATTATCTCAGAGAAACAATTAAAAATATAATTAGGAATTTGTTTACCAGTACATAAATTATAAATCTTGTGCTGAGCAATTTTCAATATGAGAGCTTTTTATTTAATTGGTTTAAAAAGTAGTTTATGAAGGTGAATGCGGCTTCACATCCAATTACGATGAGTACAATGAGTTGAACACTTCGAAATACACCTAATTCAAGCTACAGATATTTTGAACTTTTTTATACCTTGATTTACCAGTGAATGCCAGTTTAAAGACATATCATATTCATATATTAATTCCAGGCTATCTTATCTGGAAACAAAAGTACAAAAGGAAAAAAACATCTTTATCTTGTTATGTCTAAGTTATTATCACTGTGCAATATAACGGATGAAACTTCTCTGGTACCAAAGGTAAACTTTTATGGTTGATATTATTTGCGGGTATTAACTGTCAACTTTATTTCTTGAATTATTTCTATAAATGTCATGTCATTGAATGATGTTAAAATATCATGTTGTGAAAAAAAATCAATGAATTTTTTATTTTAATTTTTTTTTCTACTTTTCAGGTTCATTCTTTGAATGTACTTCGTGGTTTGATAAAAGATTCATCATTAGGAGAAGAAATATTACCATATGTATCTCAATGCACACAAGTTTCTATAATTGGTAACGTGAATAGAACGTTTATGAGTTTTTAGTTTAAAGTGCTAAACATATTTTAAAATTTCCCAATGCATACATAGTTTTAAACTATTTATTTGTTCTTATTACGATGATTTTTTCCAATTTTGTTAGTTTTATAAAATTTTAAGATGAAATAATATCACTATTGGCATATTATTATGAATTGTCGGCTTTATGTAAAAAGATAGCTCACAATTGGTACTCCTGTAGTATGCGCACCAAGATGACGCATAACCTGAACCCTAACCTTGTACACAACCTGAGTTCAGGTTGTCCGCCATCTTGGTGCGCATACTCCAAGAGGTCCCCACGATTACAAGCTTAATGAATTTTTTCAATCAGGTTTTGCATCGTCAGTGTGGGCTGTCCGCAATTCATCAACCCTTCTCTTTTCTGCTTTGGTGACAAGGATATTCGGTGTCAAGAGAGATAAAAATGATTATTTTTGTATGAAAAATAGGTAGATTCAATTTCTAATTTACTAATTTATAGATGTATTGTAAAATGTCATTCGAATCATCTGAAATTTCAAGCATTCGTGGGAAACCAAACTAAACCTTTTGTTTTCAATTTTCTCGTCCTACTTCATGGTGAAAACTGACAGTTTCTTACCACTATTAACTATTGAAATTCTTCATTTGAACTAAAATTGACAGTATTGAGTGGGTATTATTTTCATACAGCGCAATTAGGTAAGCAGTGTGCATAATAATCTCATATAATCTTTACATTACTAGGTTATCTGCTAATGAATTTTTCTCGAGACTACAGGGGCTGCATTCATTTCTTCTCCAACAACTTGAAAAAATTTGCAACAATCTTGATAAAGGTTAGATTTCATATCTTTCCCTGATAAAGTTTGCATCAAATTTGAAAACAGTACTGTTCATAAGATCTTGTTTTTACCCACATCAATAATGTCCGATAACACCATTGCAACACTTTGGATTTGATAGGATTTCATAGTCGCTCGTTCTACTATTCAGCGGTACACAGCTGAGTTTTTTATTGTGATGATTTGTTATAGGAAGTCATCATGCACTCTGTCCAACATTACATCCGATTCTCCTGCTTTTATCAAGAATATATCCTTCTACTATGCAACCAACATCTGGAATCAGTTTGACAGGATTCATTCCACTTTTGATCAGGTATTGCAAGGCTTGTCCATGAGACATATTTTATCTGTCTCATCCCATCTCAAAGCAATTTATGCCGTTTCCAGACTGCCATTTTCCCCGGAATTGTGTTCGCTACAGCGCTCTAGATCTAGAATGTATTATTATTACGTACACGCCATACGTGCAACGATTTCTGATTGCGTATTCGCGCTATTGCGCTGCCACTTTACCTCACCGTCAAGTTGAAACCGCGCCGGTAGTGACAGAATGTTAATTTTGTTGACGCACAAAACGCAATCTTATATAAAATTGCCCCAGTTGTCTTACGAGTCCCGCTAGTTCGTAATTGCCCCGCCAGTCCACTTGTCTAACGTGTCTCATGGGAAATACAAATATGAGTCGTCCCATCCAATGTGAATCCCATTCTCATGGTCAAGCCTGGGTATTGCAGAAGATAGACTTGGTAGTAATAGATCATGGTAATCATGGGAGCAACGTTTACTGCCCAGACAAAGATCTTTTTGTCAAGATCTTTTGCTATATTCCGTCCATGTTGGGTGTGGGAATCTGTAATCGTTTGAGATTCCTGGACTCGATTCTGAAAGAAGTCGTAAACAACCAGCCATTACATGATTTGACTCTTCGATTTATTTCACATGGCTTCAAACCTGTAAAGCGCCACAATGAGCCTGTTGTCGAGCTGTTTATGTTCTGACTTGTGATATCAGCTAATATAATAATGTTATTGATACCCTTAAAGCAATTTAAACCACTAAAGAACAAAAAAGTAACGTTTTTGGTAATTTTATTCTTGTTTTCGTTGACTTTTTTTTGCAGATGTAGAGCTTCTGCAGTATATAAATCACGAGTTTCTGCAGCCGTTGCATTAGCAAGTGTGTTGACCTGGGATCGAAGAATAAATGTAATGAAAATATGCTGCGATAATTTGAAAAATGATGCTGTTATTGTACAAGGAAAATCATCAAATAATGAAGGAATATTTTCTTCTGCGCAAAATCGTATTCATGGTGGTTTGTTGCAGGTAATTTAGAATATAGTCCGAATTTAATGACAGAAAATATGTGGTTTTCAACCAAAATAGGGCGAGGCATAATAGAGTGAACCTCTAAAAGGATCTAGGGCTTTAATATATTAACTAGATGATGATGATCCGGAAAAATTCCTGTGCTTAAACATTCGCTAGCTCGATGCATCCGTGAAAGTTTGTCTTGGTATTTTTAGGCAATAGGGCGTGAAAGTGATATGAAAAACAATGAACAAACCTTATAGTAAACTTTTATTTCATCTTGTCCATCTGTGTCGTTGTAAACAAGATGTTATTACATCTTGTATTATCCTACGGAAAATACACAAGCTTCCACAGCCTTGTGTCGCAGGTTAGTGTCAGAGAGCTTCGGTTCGGCGCTAAGGAGAAATGATCTTCATGTGTCGTCACGGGCCATATGCTTACTACGACAATATAAGCATGTATAGAGAATGTATTTTACTACACTGCACCATTGCAATTCACTGTTTATGACCCAACTCATTCATAACCTACACAATATTTACATTTATGATGTCACTATGAAGATGGCATCGACATTTTTGCATATCGCATTGCTTGACTTGTTCTTCTCTCGTTTTATGTTTTTTCTTTTGATTTTTCAGATCAGTGAAATTCTAAATAGTGAGATTCGCTATAACCAGCTCTCTACTGCCAACCTGCGTATACTGATTGATCTTGTCATTTCAACTTTAAACGAATTGGCAGAAGCTGTTGTAACCAAGTACGTAGTCTCTCCCATCGTTATATATCGTTATATATTAATGGATATGAACTTCCATGCAATTGTTTCATTATTCCATCCATATTTTTTGTATCCAGTGATTGTGAGCAGTGCCTCATAAATATCGTGTACCACTTGTGCCACACTTGGTCCTTTCAAACACACTTGTTCCGCACTTTTCTCACGTGTCCCGCACTTATTCCACGTTTAATGGCTAATCCTGCCCTGAGCAATGCTCTATATCGTTAAACACTTTTTCTCGTCCGTATCTTAACGGATAACTGTAATGACTTTTTTTGTTGTTGTTATAAAAACAAACGATTTTTTAATATTCTGATTAAAGTTGCTACTCAAATTGTTGAATTCGCGAAATTTCGAAAAATAATAGCGTTGTATTTTAGACTTTGGTGGGATAGAGAAAGTGTTTTATTTTGTGGTATACAATTCTACAACGTAGATGTCTTATTTTAGTATTCTTGTGTTGATTAAATTCCCCCTTTCCGGTCGGTACCGTATCAAAATATCTCTTAAATTCGGAGAACTCCCTAAACGATTTTAATTATCTGCCAGACCCCTTTCCAAGAATAGGAACTATTTCTTAGAATTAGGCCATTAGAGAATTGAAATAACTCCCATTAGTTTTTCTTGGAATAATGTGGTCGATCGGTATTTCCGTTCATTGGGTGTGTATTACACCTTTAGTTATTTCGTATTAGCAACTTCAAGAGAGGTAATTTTATTTATATTTTGGCGCTCCAGAAGTATGTGTACCAATATGGAGGTAACTAATTTTGTTTGCCTACTTCACATCAAGTTGTGTAAAGGGACTGAAACATATGGACAGGCTTTATTCACTTGGCTAACACAGACTGTCCCAAACTCGTAATAGAACTAAAATAAGAAAGATCGGAATAAAATTATGGCCTAACCCTAACCCGGTACACATACTACGGGAGTATCGATTTGCGCACACACATGAAAATTCTCTCCCACCATGAAATGTGTTTAATTTCTTAAATTAGATAAAAGCTGGCTTTGCTATATTCATCATCAGTCCCGATTCAGAGATCCTCCATAAGTCTATACTTTGACAATATGAGTCCCACCCATTCCAACGTTTTTCTTCCAGGCGAGTTTAGCTTTCTTCAGAAATGCATCAAAATCTTACTCTTCCACGCAACGTGTGAGACCCAATAAATACGGCTGGAGATTCCACAAAACTTCTTTGGCACGAAGTGAATCACTGGGTCGTTTTGATAAATTGTTATTGTTGTGAATAACCTCTCTCGACTAATCAATTTTGAATTTTCGGCATTTACAGATGCAAAGGCTATCACTTTTATGTTTTTTGACTACTAAAATTTTATGGGGTCAATATCATGCACCGAAGGTTGCTGACGTTTCTGTGGTTACATTAGACCATACATTTGATTATTCTTCCTTGTTAATAGTTAGTGAGGAGTATCAGCTATATTCTGCTGACTAAATTTAGATTTGTATTGCGATCTACCGCGATGCGTAAATGCCAGTAGGTAATTTCAATTCCATAATTAAGTATGGAGACATATGCACTATACTCGACTAGAATAAAGTTGCATATCATAGTGTACTCATTTATAAATTCACAATTTCTCAATTTCTTCATTAGCTTTGTGTGATACGTTAGCGGTTGAAACAGGGCAAGATTTTTGCACCAGGGGCCAAAAATTTAGCCCACCCAGACTAGCGGGCCATGTAAGTGCTTCACCAGTGTCTTATATTTGACTCAAATCCTAAAACAAGTTATTGTGTGTATTGTTTCGTGTTTACGTTGCAACTTTATGTCTAAATATGGCATGAACTGTGGTTGTTTAGACGGACTTGATTATCATCTATAATACTTGCCCAAATCACTCCCTTCTCATCGATCTCACTTTAAATCTGGAAAACCGCTTTTCTTTTCCAATTTTTTTCTGTCCGGATTTCAAAACGGCGTCTGATTTTTAATTGACTTGGCTTTGTGTTCGAACACAATATGATAAATAAACATTTTTTTTGGAACAAGATAATAATATATTGACGGGCGTAATATTTTTTTGTAAATTAACTCCGTATATTTTTTTTTTCAGAAGAAACAATTGCCCGCTTACGAGATCTACAGCTGTCCAATTATTTATTTTTATTCGAGATTTGAAAACTGAGAATTCATTCAAAGGTGAGTATCTCAAGAATCACTACATATTGTTAACTTTACACTCGGACTTGTATCAATCGTCGTCTCGTGTGTCAATGCACAACTTGCACTGTATTTACACCTTTTGTCTCACTTTTTCCTCGCATACCACTGTACCACACAGTTGTATCTTATTTTTCCACTTTCCCTCTTGCGCCACTTTTCCCACGTATAACACACTTGCACCTTGTTTGCTTCAGTTTCCCTCGTGTACCACATTTGCACCTTATTTGTCGCAATTTTCCCTCTTGTAGTACATTACACTTTTGCCACTTGTATCAGACCTGCACCTCATTTGCATTCACATTTCCCTCTTTCACCACTTGTTCCAAAATTACACCTCATTTGTGTCACTTTTTCCTCTTGTACCACTTTCCAACTCGTGCCTTGTTTGTTTCACTTTTCCCTCTTGCACCACTTTCTAACTTGTACCTCATTTGTCTCACTTTCTTCTCGTGTTCCACTTTCACAACTTGTACCACTACATCCTCTTGTGCAACACTTACAAATTCATTCGCCTTACTTTTACCACTCACCTGACTGTTCTGGGTTAGGTGGTATAAATTTAAAACAACTGGTTAAGTAATCTTAGGAAGTGGGAATCATATAATTGGGATAAATGAACAATCGAGACATCACAACCTCTACCATGTGAAGCATTTCATACTCGAATAAAGAAAAAGATGTCATCGATCATTTTCAAATAATGTTAACTTCTAGAAAAACCATTTTTTATTTTATTTTGCATGTGCAGTGGTTGAAAGGGCCTCAAAGATATTCATCAAATTATTTCAATTTAGATACAAATGACTGGAATGAGTTGGTAGCTGTGATCAAACATTCATCTTTATTGGAATTGGAATCAGTTACTCGTAATAATATGTTCGATATACCTGGATATTCGTTTCTTCTTCAAAGTATTGCTCAAGTTTTGGTTTTGCTATGTTCAAATAGGTATGGTTTATTTTAATGTTAATATACAAATATTTATGATTAAGGATTATAATCTTGGATAATTATCCATTTAGTGCCATTAGCCTGACCTCATTGTAATTATTCGATATAGATTATAGATTTTGACTACAAAGATGATTACAAGTATTCAGGCACGATGGGATTTGAAAAAAATAACTAGCTATATGTGATTGCAATTCAATACCGATAAAACAGAACTTATTTGGTACATACGTAATTGCTACATATTCAAACAAACATGCATTTCGACATAAAGGAGAAACTTATTGTCGGTGCATTCAGTTTATGATCACTATGTCTACGACTCTTCATGTTGAAGAATGATATTGAAAATGAATATCAATCCTAATCTGAAACCCGGTCCGACTTCAATCAATAAATCTTTTAACAACTAGTCGATCGATCGTACAAATTTTTCTGGCAAAAAGGATTTTTTCGGGTATTTTATTCATTAAACTGATGTTTTCGAATCAAAAACAATGTTGAAAAAGTGATTTTCGTCGTTTTGAATAATAAAAATACCTACTTGTCATCGGTGAATATGTCTTCCCTTCCACAGTTAGGAGTAAGATTTCCTTTAATAAATAGAACTAATCGAGCTTTCACATTAAAGAAAGCACATGTGTAGGATGAATAGAGAATTATTTCGATATACATATAAATTACAATGTAGTGTTTTATTTCTGACAGGCTTTCAGAGTTGCTACCATTGTTGGAAAAAGTGTTTTCCACCGTTAACTATGATATCATAGAGTGTGTTGTCGGGGACATAGTAAAAAGTTGGGACAAGGAAATTGCAGCTTCTTTCAACAGCGAAGGTACTTTTCATTTTATATTGGTCTAGCCTGGGTCATATGTGAAGACTAGTTTGGTGCCCGGCGAATGTATGTGCCGAGTTTGTACACAAAATTATGATTGGTTTCAGCAAATCTCATAATCGTGGTCATTGTACGAAAATAGCTCGAAGTCTGGAATCGGGTGCTCTATATGTGAGTTGTTTGTCAGTCGATTTCCTTGTTTTATTTCTTATTTTACTCTTTCGTCTAATTGAGGTTAGCATGGGTTAGACCTAATAACGAGTCCTTCGGTTACCTCGTCGAGTGGGCAAAAATAAAACTTTTTTTTTTGTAGTTCAAATGAAATTCTGGTGACCGTACCTTGTTCTGGTAATGATTTACAGCAGTGGTTTCCAAACCGTGGCCCGCGGACCAGTTACGGACCGTCACACAACACACAATTTTGTCCCCCAATCAATTAACTCTGGGAACCACTAGTTTACAGCAATCATGATTGTGTAATCATGTGTATATTTATTTATAGACTTTTTAAACGCTTATTTTCTTTTTCGAAAAGTCTAACGATTGGGTTAATCGTCTTAAATGTGTTTACACCCACGCATATTCTAAATTAAACTAACGAAAATTTCCAGTTTATTTGAAACTTCCAGTATAGATAGAAATTCGCTACATACTTTCGCTTTTAAACATACTGCATTGATTCTGTCCTTTACCTTGTGTCAGTTTGCTACATGAAAAATCATATTATTCTACTGAAAATTTGAAAGTGTGTTTTCAGTTTTTATAAACCACGAAAAATGAGGAAATCCTGATTCGATCACGTTTTTGGTTAGAGCTTGGAATTTTGGTCAACCACTGTAAAACCGCACATTAAGTAGAATATTATTTTGTTGTTTGAAATGCGTGTTTATTTGCTCTAGCCAGCCAGTCAATAATGACAAGGATTACACGGTGGTCCATTTCTGTGCTACCATGATCTTGTTGGAATCGCTAGATATCCGGTACATGGCCTAGCAGTGACAACCCGTGGTTTGGCCGTTCATCTTTACATTAGTCATAAATATCGGATTTGATCGTTGGTTTGATGCCCACCACCACAACATAACCCATATAGAACGTAATGCGTACTGAAAAGACAGCGGTCATTTTAAAAAACAGTAGTACCTCGGGTACGGAGTGCTTTCTCGTACAGAGCCTTGTTTAGAGCGACTGCTTTCATAAAACCTTTTTAAAGCGACTTCACACAGAGCTTGGTAAATAAATTGGTAGATTTACAATCTTCTTCCTTGTACAATTTGCTATTGTTTAATCCGAAAGCTTTCGGTGCTATAGAGCAGGCGTTTCCCACCCAATGTATGCCTAGCGACCCAAAATTGGGTCGCCTGTGAATCCTCTTTGGTAGCTTGTTTTTCAAAAAATCTATTCATCTCATTTTATAGTGATTTTTCTGTTTCTTTTTAATTTTTCTGTTTTTTTGTGTTGCTCAATTCTATATGTGGGAAATATCGCAGTGCAAAAACTTGGGAACATCTGTTTTGCTAAAGTAAAACCACGCTAGGGTTCAAAAACTCGCTGATAGCAGACAAGCACGACTTCCTCAATTTGGAGTCATTTCTGGTAAAATAAATGTTATAAAAAACGATAGTTTTGTATTGATGAACAAGAGAGCTAAGCTCAAATATATGGACACGTCACAAGGTGTCGCTATTATTTTATTCTGACACATAAAAAACGAATCTCTTGAAGTGGAGAGAAATTTTGAAATAAGTAAAAGTAATAGTCTTCTGGCGAAAAAATCAATCTTTAAACACTGAAAATTTCCAAAGCAATTGGTCCAGTATTCGAAGAGAAACGCAACTTTTTGGTGATAATGACAAAGAATAATATTACAATAACAACAACATAATATTGAAACGATCGTCATGTACACTGACGTGTCGAATTAATTTTGCGACCACAAAATAACTACATGCCGCTTAGTATTTGAGCATATACTTGGTTCGCAAGATTTTACAAAATTTACCTATTTTTCAAAAAATTTGGGTCACTTGAAAAAAAGGTTGAGAACCACTGCTATAAAGTCTATACCGTAGTAATTAGTTGACATCGCGTGAGTGCACTCATCTAAGTCCTGGTTTAGAGAAACGATGTGAATCAAAGGCATATTTTCTGGTGTGTGTGGGGTCTCCTGTGGCTTACTCTGAATCTGAAATTTAATCTGTGATTACGCTACCTCACAACCTCACTTATATAACATCAGCCCGGAGTGCATTACGTATTGATGATTATGGACGTAATCTGATTTTTGAACTATTTTAAATAAACGTATCTTTTGCGAAACATTTTTGTCTTTTTTCCTATACTGTACTTGGGATTTATCGAAAGCAATAGTTTTTCTCAATTCACAACAATCACAAATTGAATAATTTTTTTTCAAGCAGAACAAGACCGCCTTTTAAAATATTAATCTCGCCAATACATTGGCAGTCAAAAATCTTGGCAATCTGATGTTGAGATTTACATACTTATCCTATTGTCTTATACTTATCCTGAAATGTTACTAATCTACACCTACAGCAGGTATTATTTTTAGGAATCTAGTGTTATTATATCAAATCCAAATGGCGTCCATTTTTTCGAATTACCGATACAACCCATATTTTATATTTACAGATGCGATTCAGTTCGAAGAGAAAATTGTTCAATATATGATGGAACGACGCTATAATTCCAAAATTACAGAATTGGTAAGTGCATATTTCCAGTCCATAGTTTCCAAGAAGGTTATTTGCTTCCCTTCCCTATTGTTCAGTTGTACTTTGCATAAAATTAGGTGACCATTTAATCAATTTACCAAATCGAGCTTATGTTCAGAAAACTCCCTCAGAATCGCAATGCTCATTTCTATCACGTCATACAGGTTTCATATTGCTTGTTTTTTCGTGGCGATAATATAATATTTAAATAATGCATTTATTAGGGCGTGGTCGTATTTCGTATATCATGAAAAAAATCTACATCTAAGTTTCGCTTGTCATTAGTTTCACATTGCCTTGGCTCTCAGCGTTTCCCAATTGGTGGAAATTCTTTCCATTGAGAATTTGAATGTTTTTTCTTTTGTTGGGGGGGGGGGGGATTTCCCATTGCGGCGTTTGTATTATTGTTTTGCATATGTATACATACGTCATGAGATGCCTTAGCTAAATATATGATTAGATGCACTAAAAAGTTTGTTTTATCCTGTGCCGGACTGGTACAATGTCATTTACTTCATAATGCGAAACTACATTTACCCTAATATTTTAGTAGGTTTTACATTTTTATTCCCCAATTGTATTTTTAAATGAATACTTAGAATATTTTATATTTATAAGTCTTATCGAAAAATTCTTTCGAAGTTTCGAAGCAAAAAATAAAATTATAAAAAATTGTCAGCAAATTGTATTGATAAAAATTTATTATGTCTTTCGCTTTCTAAGGTAAAATATGAAATGATATTAGATTCTAATCTTTTTATACGGTTTTTGTATCTTCGTCAAATTATTAAAATAGTTGTTTTGTCTGAATCACAATTTTTATGAATAGATATCTATGTTTCAAAGAAAATGAATGTTCTGGTCGAAAATTGTAAGATAAAATCATACTGACGTCAAAAAATGTACGGAATTTGTGTTTTAATGTTATAACCAAAAAATTTTTTTGTGGGAAATATAACTTCCATATAATTTATTCTTTGTCAAACATATGGACCACGTATGGCATATGTTTGGCCTGGTATTATTAAGATGATGAGTTCTATTCATCACAGATTGGTGATATAAAAATTAATGAGAGTTAAGAAAACTAAATTTTGCGATATTTCGAAATTTGTACATATTATGTAGCTGGCAATTTCCAATAAATTTGATTTCGTGGACTGTTGATAGGAAATAAATTAAAAGAGTTATCAAACGAAAAAATGTATTGTATTTTCGAACAACCAATCAAATAATTTTAAATATTTATTTGGTCTATAAGCGCCATATTATACTTAGAATCGATTATTTGTGCTTTACCTGAACTATCTAAAACAACGTACAACGTTTTTTGTCGGCGAACCCAATACCTAACTTCAGGCAGCTAGCTGGACCGCATAAACAAAATAGATTTTCCATGTACACGATTAATCGCAGCGACAAGATCAATAACAGGTATTTTTACCCATGTGACGACTTTTTAAAGATGAACTGTCGGATTAAGATTTTATGCTTAGCTGGAAAAAATTCGAGTTTTGAAAAGGGCTACAATAAATGACCCGCGGGCCGCCTGTTGCAGACCCCTAATCTAAGGAAATGAATATAAAATTGTACAATAACACTTTGCCAATAAAATTAACCTTTCATGTCACTCGTTAAACTCTTGCCTCGATTACATTTTGCTCACCCTTTCCGTGGAACGAGTTGATAAATTTATTTTGTGCGACATATTTAAACTCCTTTCCCCTCGAACGAGGCTCTGTGCAAGCCGCCACTGATATGTTAGAAGCTTCTTTATTTTAGATTGACCTTGGAATACAAAGCAGTACCATAAAAATTCCGCATTTTCGTATATTATAACTACTTTTTTATCGAAGACTTTAAAATGCGTTAGTGTAGAAACTTTAATTGTTGTTATAAAAAGCCTTTGTACCTGTACCGGAATAGCATTACGTCATGCGTATTATTTCAAAAGAAAAACAAACGCGACAGAAAATTAGTTAATCCTTATAAGGCGGGTTATTATGTGTTCAACGATCTTGCTTTTGGCGATACGCTGTTCACAAATTAGTCCTTGCAATTCTAGACACATCGTCTCGCTTCGACACAAAGAATTTTCTGCGTTCGGTACCGTCACTGCGGCTCTTTCGTCTTGTATTACAATCCGAACATCCAATTTCACTATGCCGGGATAACCATGGACCGTCCGTATTGTTACGACTTTATAGTGATACAACTAAGGCCGAATGTAACAAGATAATTGGTTCAAAATACAATGCATCTCATTCATTCGATCTTGTGGGTTTAAGTCGTGCGCAAATTTGCGTCGTTGACGAAGTTTTTGTGCTCTCGGAAAACTTATCGCAGCATTACAAGTGTGGCTAAACATAGGTAATCTATTTTTCTTTTCTCTTCGTTATTTATGTTTTTCTTTTGTGTTTATGAGACCTATTTGTTCAAAACAAAGTGGATTTTGGAAGTAGGGGAGTTAATCGTCATAATTTTGAGGAAAAAAATATTTTCAAATTCTAACCGTTTTCCAAATTGTTTCTTAAAACAGACACAGACGAACGATATACTCTTATTTTCATTTCAAAACAATCCTTCTATCCTTAAGCTGAATTCAGTTCATTGATGACATTTGGTTGGGTTCTGTCCTTTTTCGGGAAAACCTTTTGTGAGCGAACATACTTGAATTGAGCAGAAGTCAATTGAAACAATTGTCGATCTCATTATATTCAGCGAGATATATTGTGCGAGAGGACTCTTCGCTGTCGCAGAGCGGTTTTCTTTAATGCTGGTCGGTTACGGCTTACTCCTCCACCAATGCAATGCATGAATATGAAAGCTCTCTTACGTTTAGACTAGTGTTTAGTAGGTCTGAAAGCAACGTGTGATAAAATACATCTCGACGTACATAAAGTACCGAGATCCCATATGAATCGGTGTAATAAATTGCGAATAATACCTGATCATAATTTTTTCGAAATTAATAAAATTTTCGCCCAGGTGATATACGATACGCTTTCGACTTCTGTCAAGGAAACTGTACAATACGTCTGTACCGTAGAAGCAAGCTATAAGTGCTTCCTTAAAATCACTTATCCAATCACCGTTTATATCCCTCCGCAGTGGAGGGTTATTCGCCTGGGCCTATCATTTAACATAAGAGGATTAGAGGTTCGTGGTATGGCATTCCATGTTTCAGCCTGGTAATAAAGCAATGTTGAATGTTGTTTTGAAGCATTGAGGTCCATGATCGCCTTTAATCACATCAGAAGACCACGAACTAGAGAAGTTACGAACTCGAAAGCCCGATTTTTTTTGTTCAGTGGAATGTTTACCTTGAATGGTGCTGCTAAGCGATACACGAACTTTTTCCGTTAGAGTCAAGTTAAATCGAGTTCATTTTACTTATTTAACGTATTATATCTTATGAACAGATTCATTTAAATTAGAATTCCGAAAAGATTTATTTTGTTTTTCTATATTTTGCTACCAGGCTTCGGATATTGACATTTCTTTAGTGTTAGTTTGATATAAACAATCTTGAACAGAATTTTAATTTTAGTAATTAGCTTGCTATTTTAGAATATGATATTAAGCATAATACATAGATAAAACTCAATTTATCTTCAAACTATGATTAGTTGTTTTACTAATATACACACTGTTGATGTATTTTAAAATAATTACAAAAAATATTGATTACCGTACATGTTTTTTTTCAACAATGTTTCTGCGAATTTGTTTTTTCCGAGATTGGGACATACGACGAACGCGCATTCCATGGCCAATTTAATTTTTACGCGCTTCGTCGCACCACTATTCGTCATTACCCATCTTCCTACTACCAACCCGTGATATTTAGATAACATGATTTTTGAAAAGGTCGAATTGTTGTTGTACTTCAACCATATTTTTTTTGTTTGTAGCGTAACTAGAAATGACCTTTACGGTCGACCGCAATTTGGTTATTTTTGTACCGTTATACGCAAACCGAATATTGGAATTTTGTTGTCCCGTGTTTATCCTGATTTTGCGTATAAAAAATCTTTTTCGTTTTGGCCCAATATTCAAATGATAGATTTTCAGTGGTAGAATAATTCTGTTAAAATGTTGTAAATGTAAATAATAATCTTTTTATTTGTAATTTTGAATGCATTTTAAACTTCTGGGGCGTTGGAAAAATGAATAAAATTCGTTCGCTTTTGGATTTTAGCCCTATTTCGGCTGTAGCTTCTTTGATTTATGGAAACTGTTGCTTGGTATGTGAATAACATCTATTCCCTTGATCGTATTTCTATTTTTTATATTATTATCAAGGTGATAATGGAGAATATGCTTTATAGTCGTTGTGATATTGCGCCTTAAAAACTTGTGAATATTTGTATTGACCACATGAATCGATCTTATACAAAATTACATTTGTCCACAAGGTGGCGGTATAGAACCATAAAACAAAATTCTATTTCTTTGCCCAAGTATGATCTCCGCTAGGATTTTGGATATTCCACAGTATACGTAGTGGGCAATATTTTATCATAATAGACAAGTTTTTTTAATTTAAAGTTTCCTCAATAATTTTCAAATACGTGCATGTTATTCACTCTCTTCAAAAAAAAATTTTTCAGGAAATACAATGCAGAAATGAAAAAACATTAACAATATCCTGAATCTACAAAATTACTGCACTGCCTGATTTTAGATCCTTTGCAGTCTTTATGAACTTTGTGTTTTGACGGTTTTGCTTGTTTCACTGATATATCAAAAATAAATAATGATATTCAACTTTTATTTTTATTTTAAGAATCGATTGTGAAACATATTTTTACATTGCACTCTCAGTTTGTAACGCTGAATGTTTTTTTCTTCGCGCTGCTTTTTTAGTTGATTTCCTGATTATTTGTATATTTTTGTTAATTTTTCAGATGTACGATATATTGAACAAACTGCCTACGTGCTTCAGCGCTAACAAGTTGTTTCAACGTTCAATGGATATTTCGGAATCTTGTAACCCATCACAATCATCGTATCTCCGAACTCTAATCAATTTTCAATCAAAGTGTATGAAACATCTTCTTTCATCTCAGTCGGTTTGTGTTCGAATTCTATTCTTTTTTTGGCAAAATTTGGTTTTTCTTCTGGCATTTCATTGAATTTAAAATGCCTTTTGACCATTCCTATTGGAAATTATCTTTAAGCTATAGCGGATTTGTTTAGGTTGCTTAAATTGAGTGCATAAATTTGGACATAACTCATGTTAAAATTTTCTCTAAATAAAATATGCCTTTTTGTTGGTATCACATCATGGAATTCTAAATTTTTATTTTTGTTTTCGCTGAAGTTTCAATAGTTATATCAGATTAATATTCTGTTATAAAACAACCAGCAATTCTGTGCTTTCAAGTGGAAGTTTATCCATAGCCTTGTTCACGTATGGAAGTTCCTATTTAAAGAAAAATATTCTTGTAATTTATCATTGAACTTTTTGAGTCTTCTTCACCATCAAGCATGAATATGGCGGTCTCGAACTAAATTTTACATACCAGAGATCAGCCGTGCCCGATTTCGATATATCTGAATGGGTGTATTTTACAGCTTAGTATGACATGATACTCCGATAAATTTGAAAATATCATTGGACAACTCGAATTCTTGGGGAAATAAATTGTAAATAGAAATAATTAATTATATATTTCGTTTAATCTGTATTCAGTTGGACATCCCTGTACTATAGATTGAATTTATGACACGGCTGAAAGAAATTTTAGACGATGAAAAATGAAAATGATGCAAATAGTTTTTTTGCTTCCCAACCTTGAAATCTTCTGTTATCTTCTTGGAAGAACTGTTCGCCCCGTTTCAACTATATTATTTTTTATTTTTCGAAATTGTTTTACCATAAAGTTGTAAATTCGCAATGGAAAAATACAGTAAATATACAAAATCAAACATATTTCGACATCCATTAACCTCGTTATGATTCAACAGGACAATGAATGAGTCATGAGGTCAAGTACACGCTACGGCAAAATAACATTTGGGGATTGCGAAATTTAGTCACTAACATTGAATTAGCTGGCCCGAATTATATTTATGACTGAAACGATTTACAAGGTTGGAGATGTATTTGTGGCATATTGTGATTGATACACATCCTAAATTCGGATATTTGAGATTTACCGATATCTCTCGATATTGTCGATCAAATATCGATACCGATATTACTAAAATGATTGTTATCGCCGATACGATATATTCAGGGTGACCCCAAAACAGAACCCATAATTTTTTTAATTACTTCTATGGAAACGAAAAAAAGAATACTCAACCCTTAACGTCTGTTTGTGTATGATTATGCCTAAAAGTTCCAGTAATCTAGGGCGCTTTGCACAAAAGTTATGTTTTTTCTTGAATTATGTTTCAAATGACCTGTGTTCTGTTTTATTTGGTAATACTGTATGTACATTAAATCCCTATTGAATTGGACGTGTACGATAAGGAACAGAAGGAACAAATACAGAACAAGGAACTTAAAACGAACTGCTTGTCTGAGGAAATCTGATTTAGGCCGTAAACGTTACAAAATTACATTTGTGTTGGTGCGCAACATGAATCTTGAATTGCATGCATGATATGGTCATGTTTATTCCTGTTACAGCAGGCTTGTAATATACGGACCCACTAGCGCTGACATGGGCAAACTACGGCCCGCGGGCCAAATCCGGTAAATTCTATTTATTGAACCATTGTACGTGCAATTCCACATCGTGCATGAAATGGAAATTTGCTTTCAAAAATTTCTGTTAAGTTGATTAGTATTTCAATATTGGTATAAGTTTCAATCGGTGTTCTTATCGTATAAAATACAGCCCTTTTCTATATTGTTCATCAGGAATGGCCATGCTTCAGGGAAAAGATATACAAAAGAAAATGACGACTTGAAATGACTACCAAACGCCATTAAATTTTAATAATTTTTTTTATTGTAATCATGTTATGTATACTTTTAATCAAAATTGACGTATACGTGCCCAAGTTCGAGGTTGTATTCAATCGTCATTTGATACAAGAAATGCGATTATTTGTGTAAAATGATGCGATGCGAGTTCCCTTGAGTTTGAATTTCGCTCGTATTCCAGCTCTGTCCATAAAATTCTTTTTTTATTGCGTCATTGAAAGATATCCAGTTCAGAGCGTTATCCATAAATAATTAGGTATTGCGCAATAACGTAGGGTGCGATACGTGCATTCATGCGGACGTGTTATGGCACCGATGGTTTATACCATCAAGTATGGCCCATTTTTAATCTATGTAGCTGTAGAATGTAGATAATTTCTACTTTTTTCATTCTTAATTTAAATATGTTTCTCACTAAACTGGAGATGTAATTTGCCATTATATCGAAAATTTATACATATTTCATTGCCAAAGCGTAGTTGATCGTGTCGTATCCTCCATCACACTCGTGATTGAAAAGAGGAACGACCCAAATCGGCCTCGCAAATACCATTTTTTCGTATAATTCTACGTACCGGTAATCATTTTCCCGGTATGAACATCAATACATTTTCTCGGAAGTATGTGTTCCCTTTTTTTGCCAAAGTCAAGTTGGCTGAAGCTGATTTCCATTATGTATTAAATTGGGTTTTAATTCAGTTTTGAGCTTGCTTTGGTCAGTAAATCACTATGTGTACCTTGTTAATGCCTTTATTTTGAAATTACATTTTCTGATTAAAATTATAACAAATCCACAAAAATGTTTATTTACAATTGCCAGGAATTTCATGTTGAACTCTTAGCACATTAACATTAGGAGCACTGTTACAATAACACCACCAACATATAACCCTAGATTGTTTCGCAAGTTCGAATCTCACGGGAGATAATTATTTGCGTATATAAATACGTATTAGTCGGTTACTGCGCTTCCTTACCACCCGACGAATTGTGGACTGGTAGCCAGGCGGTAGGCTGCAGTTCACCACATGATTAATTCGTCTGACAGCTCATTTCCACACGAGATAAATATGAAAATCCTGTCCCACGCGCATTTTATTCAATGCTCCCATATGTAACTAAATGGAAATATAAATATCGGACAATCAAGTCGTATGTTCCTCGCGCCTGTAGTTGATTTGTTGTTGTGATTGATCGTATAAAATATAATTTTCAGAAAATGCCTCCAGATTTTTCTGTTATTGTTGATAAATGGATCAAAGTACTGTCGTCTGCCTGTCAATCATACGAGAATTCCGATGACGTCAGATTAGCTGTAGCGAATTCAATTTCAGAGAACGCCGAAGAGGTTTTACTTGACCCTGGAAATAAATTTGGTGAGTGATGGCATGTAAATTCGTAGCATCTTTTTGCTGAGAAGGCTCATTGAAAAAAATTATTCAGTTGTCTCCAGGAGCTAATGCCATTTGAAGTTTGCAGTACAATATGGGGCTATTTATGGTCTCGCACAGATCGTGTATTATGAACAAACTTACACAAATAATTCAAACAAAAACGAAATTGCCGGAACACAACGGCCATTTATAGGCAATTTTACTGTCTATGCTTATGACAGAAAGAATTTCGCAAACAGAATTGTAATTTTGGATTATTCGCCGATTCACTACTCGATTTTTGAGTTTAATTTGTACACAAACATATATCTTTCTAGTTGACATCCACACACCACCATACAACAGTTCATCGCTATTTCAATTTTGAGCCAGCTTCAAACTCAGCTTGCGTCTAAAATGCGAGACTCTTACAACTGGGGTTACAAGGCTGTCACGATTTGTATATTCTTAGAACTAAATGTCAGTTAGTGCAAGTACAGCGTTACATTGCGCTTTGTAGACAATACGTCTAGTGCTATATACTTGGGATATTTTTTAGATGATTTGGTTTTGTATGGATTATACATAACGCACGATGTTAAGTGTATATTATCCATGACCCATAGATGTGTGTAGATTGTATTTATCACCCTCAAAGCAAAGAATGATTGTCTTTCACCCCACCTAATTGGATCCGCTGTGGCTTAGAATCTCTAAAAATAGACCCATTAACAATAAACCGGGATCGCCAACAAAAACGGCGAAAACAATTTTCGGCAAGGGCTGTTTTCAGTTTTTTTTTGTTTCTAATCCTAGCCGATCGAGTGTTAAGCTTTTTCCGTAATTGAACCCACACTTTCTCGCTTGCATGCAATTTTGCCAACAAATTTAGGAAGCAGCGCGACCGCGATTAGGAAGCGGTAATTTTGGTTTGTCATGGATTTTACAGCCAGATAAATGTGATTGGGTATATTCCAAGCTGTCGCATTTCCCGTATTACAAAACAAATTAGAACTCAGGAAAACACTAAATGTACTAGAATTTTTTTGTTTCTAATCTTAACTTCAAAAACTTTATCACCTTTTGCGATGATACACTGATATATGGATGTTTGGTGCATTTGTAACATTTCCTCTACGAATGGTTCATTTGCTTATTTCAAATCTGAAACCTGATTATTACAGTTTGAATACCAGTGGATGACTAAACAAATTCATGCCGTTTGTCAACAGCCAATATTTCCAAAACATCCATTTAAATTTTTTTTATTTTGCAGTCATATACTTCATTGTGTATGTAAAAGAGCGGCTTATTATCGTGTTATTAATTGTGGCAAAGCAGTTACGCGGCGGAAATTTTGCTCAACATTGGTAAAAAATCTTGACGATCAAGATCATGTCTTGGCGCACCCTCGCTTTCACCCATCCCATTTTCAACGATATGAGATCATTAACTATTTTTCTACCGTTTTCTTTGTACCTTTGAAAGAAGTTCTTTTAGAGCAGTTTATCTTAATCCCTAAAACTGAATTTATAAGTCGTAAGCATGGGCCTGTTAAACGCCATTCGAGGTGTGTTTGTTACGATCTCCCCACGTAAAGACTATGAAAATTCTTAGCGGAACGAAATTGCACGTTATCAAGTTAAAATTAGTGATTTGATTTTGCAGTCCAAGAATGGGCCATACGTATTAGGACATTCCATATATGGCCATGCATGAAAGTGTAAATATTTTCGAACATGCTACAGTTCCACTTCGATGGAGCGGATCGCTAAAAGCTAATCCCACCGATTCATTGGTAGTCCGAACTAATATCCTGTCGTATTACGAAGGCTTAATCTAATTGAGGGGTCAAATTTCTTAATACCCGCGTTAGGCTACAGTTAAGCTCATCAAGGAGACGAGGCAGGTCTTTTGGGTTTGTAGCCTATTTTACTCCGCCAGGATGAATCCTTTTAATTCTCTGAATACATGAGGTCAAATGTAAAACTGCCCCGTGCTGGGAGATTTGCCATAATCACGTTGGCAAAAGAATATTATTACAGCGCTTACGAAATTCGTATAACGTACCGCAATGCGATAAATATATATTTTTTCCCTTGAAGTTCACGATTTGAAAATTATCACTTTCCTATACTATTCGATTATTTTTGACAATATTATTTTTGTATTTGTTTGGACGCATTTTATTTCACGGAAGCAATCGTTCTCTTTAATTCTTCTTATTCAATTTCTGTCGCCGTATTGTTCATGACTGCATGAAACGAATATATGTTTCGAGGACGCTTCAATTTAAATTATTGCTGAGCACGTAAACATGTGTCTATCCTTCTACCTCAAAAATCTCTTCTCCATAGAAGAGTTCAGATAAGATCCATGGTGCAGGCTGATCATCCTTACCTTGGTCTAGCGGTTATGGTGTTCTATAGAATTTTATCTTGCTATTAAAATTTTCGCAAATTTAATACAAATCATGCTGTCGTTGCAACATGGCAATTTGTAGGGATATATATGAACTTAGTGGTCTGAATTTCAAAAGAATTGCTTTCAAATGGCATTATTTTCATTTTCGCCTAAACTATATTATTTATAAATTCCTGATATGATACCTTTTCACAATTTATCACGGCCAAGCCTTTAGATGTTTGAATATTAGTGACCATTTGAGTATTTAATTGCTCTGTTATTTCTTATTGTTTGCAGATAGCCAAAGTTCGTCGTTATCCCCTTTTCCCTCGTCTCCTGGAAGTTTATACTTATCGTTCATTTTACTTATATTCAATTTCCCTTATTTTATGTCCGTGATATGCTTGTCAAATATGATGGAAGATTAAATTGTTTCAATAAAGCCAGTTTATCTTCGGTCAACTCTTGTTCGTTGAGTTTAAGCGCCATATTACGTGAGGGTCAATTGAACATGAATTTTGTTTTCACCACAAATTCGTTTGTGAGTGAATATTTCTAGCGCGAACGCATTTATCTTGTTACTGATTAAACGATTCGAACTGGTAAATTTAGGAGAGTTAGCGAAGTAATTTGGCTTATCATTATATCTATCATTGTACCTCATTCGTGCCCAATCTGTCCCAATTGTATGAATATCACTTAATATACTTACTCTAAAACCTTCCGAACAAAGTATTAAATCTATCCTAGCCCAGAAAATAGCACCTGTTTCACAGGCTTTCCAGATTAAAGATGGGACAAGTATTACACGAAATTTCTGTTATGTTAAGAAGTGATGTGAAAGTTGTCATAGTTGCTTTTGTACAGTTTCTCGCAAGCCTGCGCGCAAGCCCAACCGATCTAGACACTTGGACAAGTTTGGTAAGCGTCGCGTTCGCGCTTTTTTATTTTTCTGAGCATTTCGGAAATTCTGATGACAAAACAAGGATTGTTTGTTACCGAAATATTGCGCCGATGTGCCATGACCGTTTGGAATTTTCATTATTTGAATTCAAGGATATGCTGATAATATGGGCCAAAAGGCACCAAACCGAAATCTGAATTTGTGGTTTTTGAAATTTCATATGTCTTTTATGCACTTCAGAATAAGATCTATTTTTTTTTTTGTATTACTAGTCGTCACGAGATGACTGGTGCATAAAAGCATTGGACCCTATCGTCATCGTAGGTTTTCAAATCTCATGCTACCACCCACCCATGGTGTATTAGATATTGTTAGTTAAGTCGAACCGAAAAGATTCTGTGTATTTCAAACCTTATAATATAACAACACCCAAAAGAACAAGCTACTGCGTTGATTATTATAAATTAAAACGTTTAAACAAGAGCGATCGTTGACGTACGTAGTTGCTAGGCGTGGAAAAAACTTAAAGCTTCCATGTTTGAGCGCATAACAATCATTTTAATGAAATTGAGTGTGTTTGGGCTATCCATTGGAGAAATTAGAGCCAAATTTTCCGACCAGCGATTCTAAATCATCCACATATTATTGATTCATACAGTGAAATTTACTTTTGCACTTACGGTAAGATAGAATGTTATGGAAATGCAAGTTGTTTACAGATATCTTGAATCCGGTAGTATTGGAATACGATACGATCGTCATCAGCCAACCCGAATTGGGTATATTTCAGACATTTGCCAAACGACCCATAGTTCCTGTTCGTGTTCAATAAATCTTCCGTATCTCATTGACCCCGGGTGAAATCTGACGTCATAGACGGTTTACAATTCCCGGAAAGAAACATCCCAATCACGTACGTCATCATCCGTCGAGCTGTAAACATCTGAAATGTGCGCTTCGTGTCATTTATGCCAGCATACTTGCAACGGAAAACGTAAATTTCATGTTAATTTTGTATTTATTAGCAATTGACCTTTATAAGTCCTGCGTCTAATAGGGTGACCCGGATTTCGAGTCCATGGACCTAACTTTACTGCGACTGTGAGTTGGAATCCAGGGCTCTAGCCGTGGTCAGCCCATTGCTCAACATCATATTCTAACACGAGGGAAATTTCTCAGGCTACACCGGTCTCAAAAGTTGCGTGAATTTCAACCCATCGGATTCCTGATAGCTTGCTTAAAGTCTTGTTTGGGGTGAATGCTAAAAGGAATATAACCGTAACGTTGACTTTTCCTTAGTTCATTGAATTTTTGCTAGAAGTTGTTCATATAAAATTATTGACTGTCACGTTAGCGATACTTGATATGACCTAACAATTTAATCTGATTGTTGCATTTTGACGTCACAATAGTATTGCTGTAAATTTTCAAGTTTCCAACGCCGCAATTCTCTTGTCAATTGCAGTTCATCAGCCGTATACATTCACCGCATTTATGTTGCGATGCTCCTTCCTCCCGCATTTATGTTGCGAATTTCTCCCTTTCCGGATCAAGTTCATTTCTAGTTCAATTTGTATTATACAACGTATTTTGTGGTTATTAGGAAGTTATACTAACTCCGTTGGGTCTTTGAGGTCAATACGATCTGGTGGTACATTATTAATTCTTCGCTCATAAACATGATTAAACCGCC